GGTTAGTTATCTACTTGTTGCCTACAAGAAAATCCAGTCACCACAGATTTGCATAGCTCTCTGTTCAACCAGTTTTAATTGTCCATTACTGTGTCTCATTGAAGAGGATTGAAAACTGGAATGTATTGTTATGTGCACCTGTTATATTTAAGCAAAAATTTGACCTTTTATTCCTCATTTGTAAGACAAATGTATCTAGTAATTTACAGGAATTAATTAGGTTTACTTTGGTAGGTTAAAAAAAAAGAATGCTCTTTTTGATTGAAAAATCTATGAAAACTTAAACATCTGAATGAAATATGGTACAAGGCTTATGTAAATGCGTGTCTGGTTGCAAGATGAAAAGGATACTGTCCCTTCTTGGAAATGTGCACAGCCTGATAGTTAATAAATTGTTAGCAATAGTTTGTGCTTTAAAAAAAAATATATATAATATATATTTTTTCACGTGGATTGGATAACTATCAAAGCACAGCCTGCCATGTAATTTAAATCATATTGTCCCTCATTATGCTAGAAAATGTACGTGCTTATACACCATTTTGGAAGACAATACCTGAACGTACATGGTAGTAATACCTAGTATTCTAGCAGAGGTGTTTCGAACACTAAATACTTCATCCAAGATCTGGCCCTGCTGTGTGCTATGATAGGCCGGTGGGGAGATCAAAGATCTCCTTTACCGGTCCACAGGCAGTCATCTGCAGCAGGCAGTATATGAAGGAAGAGAGGAGACCCAGGAGCTTTAACTCCTCTCGTGAGGTTGGAGCGTTGCCGCGGTTAACAGTGAGGAGCTACTGGCTAGAGTTCACTCACCACCGGACCACCATGAATTACCCACTGGACCATCAGTGCTTGCTGGTAATATCCCACCTCCATGGGCAAAGGTAAGAAAGGAGGGGGGAATATACAGTAAATATTTTTAACAAACAAAAAAAATAGATATATTGTCCTAAATTGTCTTTCCTCCCTCCCAAAATCTCTCTCAATCACACTCAATGCACCCTTCAAACAGACTGCCACCCACACACCGTCATCCATCACACACACACACAGCACCCCACACACACTATCACCCCACACACACACTGTCACCCCTCACACACACTGGCAGCCCCCACACACACTGTCACCCCTCCACACACCACACACACACTGTCACACCCTCACACACACTGTCACCACTCAAACACACACTGCCCCCACACACTATTACCCCTCCACACACAAACAGTCGCACTGGCAGCCTGCCCAACACACTGTCACCACACACACAAACTGTTGCCCTCCACATACTGGCAGCCCCCCGCACTGTCACCCCTCCACACACACTTTCTCACCTCACACACACTGGCAGCTCGCCCCACACACTGTCACCCCCACACAGTGCACCACTCACTCACACACACTGTCACACCCTCACACACTGTTGCCCTCCTCCCACACAATGTCACCCTCCTCTCACACACTGTCAGTCCCCCCCACACACACTGTCACTCTCCTCTCCCACACTGTTACCCCCTCACACACTGGCAGCCCCCCCACACACTATCACCCCTACACACACTGGCAGCCTGCCCCACACACTGTCACAACACACACAAACTGTTGCCCTCCTCCCACATATACTGGCAGCTTCCACACACACTGTCTCACATCACAACACTGACAATGCAACCCCACACACACACTGTCACCCCTCACACACACTGGCAGCCCCCACACACACTGTCACCCCTCCACACACCACACACACACTGTCACACCCTCACACACACTGTCACCACTCAAACACACACTGCCCCCACACACTATTACCCCTCCACACACAAACAGTCGCACTGGCAGCCTGCCCAACACACTGTCACCACACACACAAACTGTTGCCCTCCACATACTGGCAGCCCCCCGCACTGTCACCCCTCCACACACGCTTTCTCACCTCACACACACTGGCAGCTCGCCCCACACACTGTCACCCCCACACATTGCACCACTCACTCACACACGCTGTCACACCCTCACACACTGTTGCCCTCCTCCCACACAATGTCACCCTCCTCTCACACACTGTCAGTCCCCCCCACACACACTGTCACTCTCCTCTCCCACACTGTTACCCCCTCACACACTGGCATTTCCCCTCCCACACACATTGTCACCCCTCCACACACACACTATCTACCCATACACACACTGTCACACGCACACACTTTCACACCCACACAGTGCATCACTCACACAGTGTTTCCCTCCTCCCGCACATGGTCACCCTCCTCCCACACACACTGGCAACTCACCCCACACACTGTCACCCCCACACAGTGCACCACTCACACACACTGTTGCCCTCCTCCCACACACTGTCACCCTCCTCTCACACACTGTTCTGCCCCCTCCCCCACACACACTGGCAGCCACCCACACACACTGTCCCCCTTCCACACACACTGTCACCCTTCTCTCACACGCTGTCACCCCCTCCACACACACACTGTCACACATGCTGTCACCCTTCTCCCACACACTGGCACCCCTTACACACACACTAGCACCCCCCACACACACTATCATCCCTCCACACACACAGTCTACCCTCACACACACTGCCAGCCTGCTCCACACACTGTCACAACACACAAACTGTTTCCCTCCTCCCACACACTGTCCCCCCTCCACACACACTGTCACCCCCACAGAGTGTACCCCTAACACACACACTGTCAGCCTCCTCTCACACACTGTTACACCCTCGACACACACACTCTTACCCCTCACACACTGGCAGCCCCCCCACACACTGTCACCCCTTCACACACACTATCTTCCACACACTGTCACACCCACACAGTGCATCACTCACACACACTGTCACCTATCTCCCTTACTGGCAGCCCCCCTACACACTGTCACCCAACCACACACACTATCTCCCCACACACACACTGTCACACCCACACAGTGCATCACTCACACACACTCTGTCACCCTTATCCCACACACACTGGCAGCCCCCCCACACACTATCACCCCTACACACACTGGCAGCCTGCCCCACACACTGTCACAACACACACAAACTGTTGCCCTTCTCCCACATATACTGGCAGCTTCCACACACACTGTCTCACATCACAACACTGACAATGCAACCCCACACACACACCACACACACACAGCCTTCACACACACATAATGCAGGCCTCACACACCCTGGACCCTTTACAAGTGCACACTGCACCCCTCACACACACAGCACCCCTCACACACACACACACACAAGACCTCTATAAACACTCAGGGTTCTCCACACACACTACATCACCTACATGCAATACTCAGACACTGCACCACCAACACGCACACCACATTCCTGCCATACACACTCTGGATCTCATATGCGCACACTAGATCCTAAACATACTGTGACAGAAAGCAAGGAATTGTGCTGGAAGGAACCTATATACCTCCCCAGATTTTGCAAGGTTCTTACTTTGTGTAATTAGCCCCAGGGAAATGTGTTATGTTCTAATGAATGTTGCACTTTAAATATGTGTATATTTGGGCCCTGGGGTGGAGCACCTGGAGAGTAGGGTGGGCCAGTGCTCCACTCCACATTTTGGAAGTTGCTTGGTGAGAAGTCCAGTTCTGGAGTTTGAATCCTAATCTAACTCACCTGAAAAGGATTGTCAATTACCAGTGCTATTAAGTACTCCCCTGCCAAGGAAGAAGGGAGATTGTGTTTGGTTTCTGTGAGTGGAAACAGAGAGCTGAAAACCCTGAAGCAGTAAGGCTGTTTATGTTTATGTTTATGTTTATGTTGGGAAATGGACAAGCCATCCAACCCAGTTAGCTGATTATTTTGTTTAGTTAGTGCTCAGAAGAGCAAGGCTTTTGTTTGATATATTTTTGTTACCTTTATACCTTACTGTGCATTTATTTTGGAACCTCAATAAAAGAGCAAGTCAGTTTACCTCATCCAGCGTGTGAAGTGTCTCTAAAGCCTGAAAAGACTGTGTGTAACACCCCAATCCCAGGACAAGGTACCAAGGGAAAGGAGTACTTTTGTCACATATGGTGGAGAATGCGGGCAGCACACGGCAAAGTCTGTAAGTAGGGAGAAAGAGACTGCTGAGAAAATGGAGGATGTCATGAAAGCTTTGCTCCAGTCCACTGCTGTACAGCAAGAGACAAACAGGAGGACTGCAGAGACTAATGCAATACAGCAAGAGAGCATTTCAATACTGCAGCAGCTTGTACTGGCTCAAAAGGAAAATACAGATGCTTTATTCAAGCAAGTTGAAGCAACACAGGCAGCAGCGCATCAAGTGCTCAGAGAGGAGCAGCAGCGTGCCACATGTGTCATACAGCAGGAGATCCAGAGTCTATCACAAAGGCTGGCCAGGGATGCCACAGACTTACCACAATGTCCAAAGGTGATCAGAGTGAGTCACTACTTGCAAAAGATGGTATCCACAGATGATGTAGAGGCCTATCTGATGGCATTTGAGCGAACCGCTGAGCGAGAAGGTTGGCCTGAAGCGGAATGGGCAAGTCTGCTAGCACCGTTTCTTACTGGTGAATCCCAGAAAGCATACTATGATCTGGAACCAGCGGAAGCCAGTGACTACAAGAAGCTGAAAGCAGAAATACTGGCACGCCTGGGGGTGACAACAGCCGTCCGTGCCCAGAGATTTCATTCATGGACTTACAGCCTGGATAAAGCGATTCGTTCCCAGATGTTTGACTTGATACACCTTGCCAGAAAATGGTTGCAGCCAGAGATCAACTCACCCAGCCGCATTGTGGAGCAACTGGTGATGGAAAGATTCCTAAGAGGCTTACCTATTGGGCTTCGTCGTTGTGTCAGCCAGAGCAATCCCCAAACAGCTGACCAATTGGTTGAATTAGTTGAACGGTATATAGCAGCGGGAGAACTGCTTCAACCTCCTGGCCAAGAGAGACCCAAGAATCCGAAAACCTACAACCCCAGCAAATCTGGTAAGACTGTTCCAGGGAAAAGGGGGCCTTTTGATGAGAGAACAGGGTCTTATTACCCAAGAGACAATGTTAAAAGAGAAAAAGACTTTGGGAGGTGGGAAGAGCCTACAAATGAATCAAAAAGTACTAATTATGGTATAAAATGCTTTAAATGCAGAAACTTTGGACATATTGCAAAAGACTGTCCTGAAAATGTTGAACCAATGGAGTGTAATTTTGGTAATAATTGGGAAGGAATTGCACTCTATTCGCAGGTTGTATGTTCTGTGGAAAAAAATGGTTATTTGAATAGTCACCCTGGGTGTACCGTGAATGTGGAGGGAAAAAATATACAGGCATTGCTAGATTCAGGGAGTATGGTTACCCTTCTAGACCAATCCTTATTACAGGATACTCATATTGTTTACTCTGGAAAAGTTGATATTGCTTGTGTACACGGGGATATACATAACTACCCTACTGCAGATATACTTGTTAAAACCCAGTGTGGTACTGTAAACTGCAGAGTGGGGCTGGTACCAAAACTGGCACATGAGATGATTATTGGAAGGGATTTTCCCCATTTTCTAGACCTATGGGCATGTTTTGAAAACCCATCAGGTGAACAGAATGATGAATTTCCTTTTGCAGATACTCTGGCAGATGAGAGAGATCATGATGATGAGCCTAACGGTATGCAGCACTCCCCTATAAAAACATTAGTTGGTGAAAACCCAGAACAAACTAATGCGGGACCTTCTAGAAGCTCTGAACCAGATATAGAGTTAGTTGATTTAGAGGTTAGGCCTGGTAACTTCAGAAGTGCACAGTGGTCTGACCCAACATTATTGGTAGCCAGGAATAATATTTCTATAAGGAATGGATCCCCTGTCAATCCAGGGAATTCTCTTACTTACCCTTATTTTGAAGTGGATAATGATCTGTTGTACAGAGTTGAGAAAAAAGAGTCCGTTATTACAAAGCAGCTGTTAGTACCACAAGCCTATTGGCGCACTGTGTTAAACCTTGCACATAGCCATGTTTTGGGGGGTCACCTAGGGGTTGACAAAACAAGAGAGCGTGTTTTGAGGAGATTTTACTGGCCTGGAGTAATTGCAGCTATCAAAAACTACTGTTCGTCATGCCCTGAATGTCAGGTCACTGCGCCCTTTACGGCTTACCGTAGCCCTTTAGTACCCTTGCCTATTATTGAAGTGCCTTTTGAACGTATTGCTATGGATTTTGTGGGTCCTCTGGTGAAATCCAGTAGGGGGCATCAGTATATATTAGTAGTACTAGACTATGCTACCCGTTACCCTGAGGCAATACCTATGCGCACAACCTCAGCAAAGTCCATTGCTAAAGAGTTAATGATGATGTTTAGCCGGGTTGGGATTCCCAAGGAGATCCTATCAGATCAGGGTACTCCATTCATGTCCAAGGTTACAAAGGAACTCTGCAAGCTCCTTCACATTAGACACCTCAAAACCTCTGTTTATCACCCACAAACCGATGGTTTGGTTGAGCGATTTAATAAAACCTTAAAGGCTATGCTGCGCAAAGTAATTGATAAAGATGGGAAAAACTGGGACTTTCTATTGCCCTATTTAATGTTTGCCATTAGAGAAGTACCCCAAGCTTCCACGGGTTTCTCACCTTTTGAATTATTATATGGCAGACACCCCAGGGGATTACTTGACATAGCAAAGGAAACTTGGGAACAAGAAGCAAACCCACATCGCAGTGTAATAGAACACATAACTCAGATGCAGGAACGTATTGAAGCCATTATGCCAATAGTCAGAGAACACATGCAAAAGGCTCAACAAAATCAGCAGAATAGCTATAATAAGGATGCTAGAATTCGAGTATTTCAACCAGGAGACAGAGTACTAGTCTTGGTTCCCACAGTAGAGAACAAATTCCTGGCAACTTGGCATGGGCCATATGAGATTATTAAAAGAGTGGGAGAGGTAAATTATAAAGTAAGGCAACCAGGTAGAAGAAAGGAAGTGCAAATATACCATGTCAATTTGCTAAAACCATGGAAAGAAAGGGAAATTCTGGTTACTACAGAGGCTTCAACCTTCCCTGATAAGTGTGACCCCGAAGTAAATATCTCAGAGACCCTGTCAATACACCAGACAAGGGAAGTTAAGGAGTTTATTAGATTAAATAAAGAGGTATTCTCCCCAGTCCCAGGAAGGACTAGCGTGATTAAACATGACATTTTAACAGAACCAGGAAAAAGGGTCAATCTCAAACCATACAGAATACCCGAGGCTCGTAGAAAAGCTATCAGAGCAGAGGTTAAGAAAATGTTAGATCTTGGAGTCATTGAGGAGTCACAAAGTGACTGGAGCAGTCCAATTGTGCTGGTACCAAAGCCTGATAATACAGTACGGTTTTGTAATGATTATCGCAAACTGAATGCTATTTCTAAGTTTGATGCATACCCCATGCCTAGAGTTGATGAGCTAGTAGAACGACTTGGGAGAGCTCGGTACCTCACTACACTAGATTTAACCAAAGGTTATTGGCAAGTACCACTCACAGAGCGAGCAAAAGAAAAGACAGCATTTTCTACTCCTGACGGCCTATTTCAGTACAGAGTTTTGCCTTTCGGCTTGCATGGTGCCCCTGCCACATTCCAAAGAATGATGGACAGAATACTAAAGCCGCATGTGCGCTATGCAGCTGCATACTTGGATGATGTTGTAGTACACAGTGAGGATTGGGAATCTCACCTTCCAAAAGTACAGGCTGTCCTTAACTCAATACAAAATGCTGGCTTAACTGCTAACCCTAGTAAGTGTACGATTGGCCTAGAGGAAGCAAAATATTTGGGCTACTCTATTGGTAGGGGACTAGTGAAACCCCAAGTTGCTAAAATTGAAGCCATACGAAATTGGCCGAGACCACTGACTAAGAAACAGGTGAGAACATTTCTTGGCCTCATTGGCTATTACAGGAGATTTATATCCAATTTTGCTACAATTGGAAGCCCATTAACTGACCTTACTAAAGCTAATGCTCCAGTAGTGGTAAAATGGTCCCCAGAGACGGAACAAGCATTCAGAAAGCTTAAAGAAGCCATTTGTGCCCAACCAGTGTTGGTAACACCTGATTTTTCTAAAGAATTTATTTTACAGACGGATGCATCTGATGTAGGACTAGGTGCTGTTCTCTCTCAAGAAATTCAGGGTGAGGAGCACCCCATATTATATTTAAGCAGGAAGCTTAATCCCCAGGAAAGAAACTATTCCATTGTTGAGAAGGAGTGTCTGGCTATAAAGTGGGCGGTAGACACACTTAAGTACTATCTCTTGGGACGAAAATTCAGACTAGTGACAGACCATGCACCCCTTACTTGGATGAGCCAAAACAGGGAGAAAAATAGTAGAGTAACCCGCTGGTTCCTCAGCTTGCAACCCTATAATTTCTCCATTGAGCATAGGGCTGGGAGTAAACAGGGAAATGCAGACGGTCTTTCGCGGATGCACTCTCTAATGTCCATGGTCGCTCGACCCTATAGGTCTGAGCTGGGGGGAGGATGTGTGACAGAAAGCAAGGAATTGTGCTGGAAGGAACCTATATACCTCCCCAGATTTTGCAAGGTTCTTACTTTGTGTAATTAGCCCCAGGGAAATGTGTTATGTTCTAATGAATGTTGCACTTTAAATATGTGTATATTTGGGCCCTGGGGTGGAGCACCTGGAGAGTAGGGTGGGCCAGTGCTCCACTCCACATTTTGGAAGTTGCTTGGTGAGAAGTCCAGTTCTGGAGTTTGAATCCTAATCTAACTCACCTGAAAAGGATTGTCAATTACCAGTGCTATTAAGTACTCCCCTGCCAAGGAAGAAGGAAGATTGTGTTTGGTTTCTGTGAGTGGAAACAGAGAGCTGAAAACCCTGAAGCAGTAAGGCTGTTTATGTTTATGTTTATGTTTATGTTTATGTTGGGAAATGGACAAGCCATCCAACCCAGTTAGCTGATTATTTTGTTTAGTTAGTGCTCAGAAGAGCAAGGCTTTTGTTTGATATATTTTTGTTACCTTTATACCTTACTGTGCATTTATTTTGGAACCTCAATAAAAGAGCAAGTCAGTTTACCTCATCCAGCGTGTGAAGTGTCTCTAAAGCCTGAAAAGACTGTGTGTAACACCCCAATCCCAGGACAAGGTACCAAGGGAAAGGAGTACTTTTGTCACAATACACACACTCTTTACAACCCCTACACACACTACATCACCTACACACATACACTACATTCCCTTTGCACACACTCGCTACAACCCTATACACTATGCCCTCTATACATACAGGCTCACTCTCTCCAGCACCAAGGCACGTGTCAAACACAGCACAACTAAAACCGACCTATTTACACAAAACATCACACCACAAACAGCTCATTCTACACACCTTCAATCCTACAAGCAGGCTCCAAACACATGCACATTACGCTTTCCTTGCCCTTTTGTCCTGTGGTGGTATCCCACTTATGGTGACAAGTCACAAGCAAACACAGTGCAAGCTTTTTAATACATTTGCTTGTGCTGCGTAGAACAAACACAGGGCCTTTTTTTTTTTTAAGTGTGAGCGCTTCAGCTGAACACTGCCAATTGAACCAGCAAGCTTACATTGAGAGGAGGCGTACTTGTCATTAATGATGACAAAACACCCTCTCTCTAGCCCTGCCCCCTTCTTAGTGGGTCTCTGTGATGCAAAAATGCCCTGGTTTAATTTTTTTCACATTTCACAAGCAAACACCAACACAACATGCAAACACACTCCTGCAATCCAACACAAACATTACATACAATTACAACCTTGCATTCAAACTTCAAAATTATATACAAACTCACTACTTTACTTAAACACCAATGTTACACACAAATGTACATCTGCAAATAAAACCCAACATTAAATCCAAACACACCCCTGCAATCAAACACACCCCTGTATTAATACACTACAATTATATACAAGCACCCCTTCAATCAAATAAATACACTACACACTAAAGGACACCTGCATGTAAAAGCCAACACAACATTCAAACACACCTGCATTCAAACGCAAACACTGCACACAAGTACACCACTGCATTCCTATGCCAACAGTACATACAAATACACCCCTACATGCACACATATACTCTATACAAAAACATGCTTACATTCAAACGATCCATCACTGCTCACAAATACAACCCTGCAAAGATGGACAAATAGTAGATCTCCAGCGGGCATGGCATCATTG